TCCAGCTTTTATATTCCTAGTTTGGTCTCATGAGAGAACGTGAGCCAGGCTATAGTTTATTTTGCTCAAATCAGTGAAAGCTCCAACCCACCAGCCACCTGGATGCTCTGTCATAAGCTTATTAGATGTAAATCACACCAAACTAGGGACTAAGCGGTTGGAAATGCTCATCCAATTTGCTGTAGATAGATTGTAATAAGCTTTTGAAGTTTTTCAGTGATGGACAATAACTGTAGACTAAAATAATCCCAAGAAGTAGTTGCCTTGTATTGCTTAGCAAGAAGCATCTGATCAGATGTCAGGGTCTTTATGGAAGCAGGTTGAAAGTTTAAATAATTTCATGAGTTTGAAATGATGAAACATATCAGTAAAATTTTTTTTTTTTTTTTATTTAATAATAACATGGTACATTTTATGGTGAAATTATGTTTACAATGAATAAATGAAAAATAATTATTTGATGATATATTCAATAGTACTTTTTTATTTCATTTAGCATTTCATGATTTAATTATGTATTTATGAATTTTATAATACATTTATTTATTTCATTTTATTTTGTACCCCTGAACACGCTATAACATAAATGTGGGTATAATAGATGTAAACTAATAAACAACTTGTGGTTAATTATTAATTAATGGTTTATTAGGTTAACATTTTTTTTTTTTTCAAATAATTGATAATGTCCTCTTAAAAGGAATTTCTCAGTGATGTAATGTTTCAGCCATCCACTAGAGGGCACAGCTGGTCATTCTCAAGCAGGTATTTTTATTGGAAGTAATGATGGAGCAGAGTTTGATCTGTAATTAACAGGTTGGTGGAGACAAGGATGCAGAATACACCATGTGGTTCTTTGAATATCAATACTTGATAAACTCCTTCAGTTATCACCTGAATAACTCCCGTTTAGCCATACTGCATGGTTGAGCAGCATTACGTATTTGCTGTGCTCAGAAAGGGAGGATGTGATTATAGAAAATCACATGCTGGATTACACTAAAAACAGAGCTATATAACAGCTTGCATCACTTCATTAAACAAAGTAGTGATTAGTCTGCCAAAGTAAAGCATAGGTCTGAGTTTCAACAAATAACTTTATGACTTAGGCTACGTTTACACCGCAGCCTGAAGTGACCCAAATCCGATTTTTTTTTGCCCATACGTGACCTGGATCTGATCTTTTCATGACAGTCTGAACAACACAGATCAGATTTTTTCCAATCTGCCCCAGGCCACTTGGTTATGTGGTCCTGAATCCGATACGAATCTGATCTTTCCAAATGTGACCTGTGTCTGAACAGCCAGCACTCTTCTGCTTCTTGCTACGAAGAAGTGACAGGAAAAACAACAATGGTGGACAATAATGCGGAGAGTAGTGTTTATGTTTAACCATCCATGTCCTCCAGTACTACCATCCATGTTTACTCCGTAAACACAGAGCACGCTTGCTTGTGACGTCATTGCATCCTCTACTGTGCATGCGGGACACTTAGGTTGTATGAATGCAGTTCACACAGGAGATCACATACAAGTCGCATATATTTGGAAATGAACAGCGACGGAAAAAAAATCGGATTTCACAAAAAAAATTGGAATGGAGCATCAAGGCCTGCAGTGTGAACGTAGCCTTAGAGATACTATACGTGATATTTTTCTGATTTTAATTTTTCAATTTGTTTTAATGTTTTCAATTTGATGTTTACTCCTGGTGGTCACATTGCTGGACATCATGTTGAGTTCTTATTTGGTGTGACTTGGCACATGAGAGGTCATTTGTAGTCATCCTTTAAGAAACAAACTGCTCCACAACTGCCCCCAGATTTGAGGGGACCGATACATTCTGACCTTTTTCATCTGTTTTTGCTGTTGGTTGTCTTCCTTTTCTCTGCTTAAACCATATTTCCTGCCCCTCTTAAGGTTTGACGCCGAAAAAAATAGGAAAAGCAATCAAAGGTATTTGCACTTTCACCAAGAGTCAGTCTCTGCATCCTTTTCAATAAAACTAACAGATGATCAGGTAGCTTGCTGAAACGCACCAAGACACCTATTTTTTGAGCTGAACTCCTGCAAATTTCACCTGACGTGGTTTAAATTCCAATTGAATGACTGTTCACTGAGTTAAATAGGTGGCTTGTTGATTGTTTAACCAGCTAAATTCTTGACTGATCTAGCGATGTTAAGTTAGAATAAATTAGTATTTAATGATTACATTTGCTGCAAAGCTTCGTCTTCTGTTTCATTCTGGAGATGCAAATCCTCACCTAGTTTAGACCTCAATGTTAAGTAGCTCATAGGAAGGTGAATGTGTGCAGATTGTCGTAACGTTACACTTATTGGCCTATTTCTTGTAAAACAAACAACAGGTTTAGAGTTTATGCAGTGTACATTTGGTAAGTTCTTTGTTCAAGTTAGTAACAGAAGGAACTAGTTTGTCCTCGTCATTGTGGTGTCTGTGGTTGCACTATTGCACATTAACCGTGTCCTCACATGGTTGTCAGTAAGTGGCCCTCACTGAACACCCTGCTTGTTCACTCTCACAGCTTTTCGCATGACTCACTCATTTTGCACTCCTGCTCTCCACCGATGTTTTGGTAAATAGCAGAGATCTTTTGTCAGCTTTGCTTATGCACTCGGAAATGCACCGTTCATCCCTGATAAATGGTGAATGATTAATGTGTATGGATGAAATGTATAACAATATCAACTCTAAAGGACTAACAGGACTGCAAGAGAAAATGTAGGTTTATTACATTTAAAAAAGTTAATGTAAAGATTTAATTATTATTTAACAATGACAGAAGCATCAATCAGTAATCTATTTCTTGACCTCATAAATGTTCTTGCATTTTCTATTGGATTAATAAAAAAATACAGAAATATTGTATGTTTTTATGCATAAATCAACACTATTGTTCAATTTCTTTTTTCAACTGTTCATGAAAAAATATATGGCAGCACTCTATTTTATTTTGAAATCCTATTTGGAAAGAGGTCCAAATCTATACATTATTTGTTGGTTAGACTTTAAAGAAAATGTGTCTGTAAAATTCTGATGGATTCATTTATTTGAAAAACATTTGAAGGCACAAAATGAATTGATTTAATCGTATACACTTATCAATTAGCAGGCTGCTGGAGTTTCATTACATCAGCCAATAGAAGCTTGATTGGTGCAGCTGTATTGCTTTAAAATTGACTAGAAATGCAAAGTTGATTTGATCACACATGGTAATAAGAAGCACGCCGTTGCCATTAAAAGGGCAATTTTTATTTTTTAAAGCAAAGGAAGAGCATTAATTATACACTTTAAGTGTTGATTTTATAGCTGAACATACATTTTAGCTTTTTGTAGCTTATTTTGTGGAGAAATTAGGAGTCTTACATTCATTCTAGCTGAAAACAATTTTTATGTTAGGTTCTATGGATAAAGATCATATTTCAGGATGTTTAATTTCATAACATCCAATGTTTAGTCAGTGTGCTAAGCTGATCCTGATCATATCATACAGGCTATCCTGGTCTTACTGCTATCGCATGACTTTTTAATGTTTCTTTAGAATCGACAAGGACATGTCCGGGAAGGTGGAGACCGCTGCTGCTGCTGTTCCCGAGTGATGGCACCACACTGCAACACCAGGAGGGGAACAACTCTTTTCCATGCGTGAATGTTCTGCTCGATGTGACAGGAATTTTATTTCCCTGGAAAGTGCCTTTTTGAAGCAATGCTGCCTGTTACATTGAGACATTTTGCTGCATTTTTCTTTCCATACAAACTAACCCATGTCACTTTTCCCACCTGTTGTCTAAAGTGTTATGTTTTTTTGTCTCCTATGTAACTTCTAGCATGGCTTCTGTATCTTAGTTGTATCCTCATCTATTTAATGCACTCTGTTACAGGTGGTTTCTGCATGTTCTGCTTTATTATATTGGAATATATATATTTATATTCAAAAGGTGTCAAAGGAAAAAAATTAATATATTTTTATGAACTGATTTTTAAACTACAATTTTAGGTCTCAGGCTCACTGGGCTAGCAATGGGAAATGTTGATGGCACCTTTTTCACTGTTCACTGCTGATGTTCTGTTGAAATCCTACCTTGGGAAAATAAAGCTTTATTTTGCTGCGCCTCACTGCGTATGTGCCTTTTAGATGTTGGAGAGCCTGAATCTATTTTAATTATATATACATTTTTCAGGGACACTGCAGGATTTTAAATTTAGGCCTTAAACTTACACATTTTGTTACTAGATATTTAATTTATTCAGTTATGTCTGAATAAATTAAACATCTGCTCCCTTAATTCTTAGTTTGTATTTGCAACCATAGTGGTATTACATTATCCAATACTAGCTCATAGTCTATGTAATAATTTGCTTTATAACAGATTTTCATATATCGCCAAAGCCTGTTCCAATTGGTATGAGTCTTACTGCTTACAGTAAGACGGTATTGCAGATATGTTACATTAGTGTAGATGGACCTGACTCCTACGAGAGTCATGCTCAATTAACTGTTTCATAAATTGGATTGATAATTTTCATAAGTCTTATATTTAAATGACTTTACAGTATTTTAATTGTATAACTTGCATAAACTACGTCGATGTCTTCTTATTTCCTCAGAGAAAACCATAATGCACACCTGTTTTGATTTTTTGCCTCAAATCTAACTTGTAACAGAGAAAACATCCACAAAAATGGTATCCATGCTGATATTTATTGCTGCAAAATGCAGCAATAATTTGATATGTAGTATTTTTTTTAAATATAATTTCTTGCACAGTAATAACACAAAATGTAGACTTCATGGAAGATGAACATTTCATAGGACAAAAATGTGACAGTAAAGCAGTAAGATATCTGCACAGCTGGTAAGCTAGCTGTTTATATGTATAAAGGGGGGGAAAAAGTTTATCCAGGAGATAGACGTGCAAAATAAATGATATGCCTCTCAAACTTATCCTGCTTCCTTTCAACAAAGGAAAAAGAAAAGCATTACATTCCTTTAAGGTTCTACAACAGGTTTGAATTTACCAGAGAGGCCAGTGGGTCATGACCCAAAGCTTTGAAATGCAGAACTGACTCCAAACATCTGATGGAAATATCGTCAACTTCTGGGTCAAACTTATTTGCAAAGAGGTGCTGCTGTCTCAGGAGCCACAGGAGGTCTCCAGCTCCATACACACAGACAGATCTCCTGTGGGCCCCTGTGCATGGGTAGTATGGAGCTCCTTTGCTCACGTCTCCTTCTAGGTAAGACCACTTGACTGCCCTGGAGAGAGCCTGCATGTCCGACACGTCGTATTTGCCATTAGCGGGGGCTGATCCAGGAACATGGGGCATCCTCTGCAGGGTAGCCCACATATGCTCATCCGGGCTGTACGTATCCTTCTCCCACTCTATGAAGTTCTGCACCTCTCTGTTCTGCATTATGTGTTTCACAAAGGCCCTTGAGACAATAAAGTAGGCGTTTCCTGAGAACATGGGGCTCCTGATCGGTGGTGGGCTCTTCCTCACGCCCGTCCTGACAACCGTGTTGGTGACATTGTGGTGGTACTGCCAGCGACCTTTCTTGTAGTCGTTGGTGGCTTCGGTTTCCATGCTGTTTCTCCCATTGAGGGCTTTCAGAGCTCTCACCATCTCCCTGTTGGTTTTGATTGGAAAATCTGTCCCACAAGTGTTCAGCAGGTACTTCCACTGGATATCGGAGCGTAGCAGATCTTTCATGCAATTCAGATCTGCCTGTACTCTGGACCAGGAAGCATACACAACTCTTTCTAATTTGCTGCTTATGAAAACATTGGGAAAGCAGGAAACTATTTCTCTCACAGGCCTGTGAAAATCCAGAGAAGATTTCTGATCAACATGAACACAGTAGAGGTTCTGAGGAGCATAGATAGACCGCAGGAGTCTTTCAAACATCTCAATCTTTTCATGGATCACCATGGAGTACGCAATAGGAAAATTTGCCTCCTCTTCACTAAGAGGTACATTAATGAAACCTCTTTTCTCAGTGAAAGCTACACAGTCCTTTGTCGCATTGATGTAGAAATCCTCAGATAGAGCCGTTTTCTTACTTCTGGTTGCTAGAAGCGCTTCTAGTTCAGCCATTCTGCCCTTTGTGTCTCCAGTGATGACACCTAAACAGGCAGGCAGGTCAGAGGAGAACTGCTCCAGTATAGGAAAATGAGAGGGCAGACTTCTATTAAAGTTTGTTCCCCAAAAAATTAAAGAAAGCCCCATACACACCACGAGGAAAAAGAAGGTCCTCATATAAGTCCACTTTCTCTGAAGTTTTGAGTAAGTCATCTCTTTGGTCATTAGGTGGCGGAGCAAATGAACTCTCATCAGTGAGGTTTAGGAGATAAAGGCTGTGGTACTGAATCCTCTACTTGGAGGTGTGGCAGAAATAGGTTTGACAGGAAGGTCTGGCCAACTGCATCCTTGTTGATGTTTAAATAATTGTATTGCATGAGTAAATCTCATGCTGGAAACTTCTGAGGAAGTTAAGGTGTATATTTCTAACTGTAAGGGTGTCAGAAGAGATGGTGACTTTTTCAGCTAAATCATACAAACTGTTTCACCACTGTCTAGTTTCACAAACTCCTTTTTATTGTTAATTTACAAAAAGAATATAGACATTTACACAAATATGCAGGTAGTTTTTCAGTCACTGCTCACATTTTTTTAAGAGTGTGCATTATACAGATACAGGCACTTTGTAGTGTAACTTACAACTAAAACAAATGATGTTTACACACATTCCAGTGATCACTTAAAAAAAAAGTTGGAGCCACACATTTGGATTTGTTGTTGACTTTTCCTCATCTGCTTAGTGCCGTTATCATAAACAAGCTCAAAAATCACAGGCTGCTAATGACAGTTCTATGGGAATATTTAACCAGTCTTTGAAAAAGAAATTAACCATTGTGTTGAAATTGCTTTGTAGCCTGCCATGCACCAGGCCTTATGGGCTTAAGGTCAAAAGAAGATCTAAAAATGTAATATAGCTCTAATTAATCAATTGCAAAGCTAGTTATGTGAACAGATATCACTCGTTTAGGAGGTAGGGTTTTGTCCTGTGACCAGTAGGTTGCCGGTTTGAGCCCCGACTCCATCCATCTCTGCTGTGTCACTGGGTATAACCCTTCACCCAGCTTGTCTGTTGTTAGTGTTTGATAGTATGGCAGCCTTCCTTTAGTTAGTCTGCAGCTGTCAATGCAGCTGTGGCTACAGTCTAGCTCACCGCTATCAGCAGTGATGGGTTAAGGTTCTCTAACTTTTCCACTTCTGACTGACAAAATGGTCCCAGACTCAACTGAGGACTCAAACCATTGGTTGGGTGAACAAACGTTTCTACACAATCTATTAACAACTGCAATTGTTCCAAACAACACCAACAACCAAAGTAGTTAGTTTTATCAATTTTGTTATTGATTCTTTGGGTTCTTTTAGAACTTTAACATAAATGTTTATCATTTAGTCAATTTCTGCAGTGGACCTCAAGACCCCATCCTGGTTGATTAAGGGCCCCTTCTTTGGGAATTGGTGGTGTAAAGCACTTTGGGGTTCTCGAACTTGAAGGAGAGCTGTATAGGTACAAACCATTTACCACCCAGCTGTGTACAAATTTTGGCCATCTTGGTCAGGATATTCACTTAAATTCTAAACCGGAATCGGAACCGGAAAATCATGAATTTGCGCAAAAAATATGAGCATTGAATATGAACAAAAAGCATAGTGAGATAAAGAAAGCTCTAGCCAAAATCATAATCCTTTAGATCTAATGTGAAACTGTTGTTGCCCCACAAACCGTCCAAATGCTTTCTGGAGGAAATGTTCTTTTTTTTTAACAAGATAGACTGAGTTCTTCGGACAGAAGCAGTCAGGATGAGGTTTCAAACTTAAAACTGGGGTAACAATCTTAAAGCATCGTAGTGGTAGCATCATGCTAATGGGCGTTTTATCGTCAACAATACTGGCACATTGCCAAAGGGGAGTAGGGGAATGTAAATGAGGAAAACTATCTAAACAAACAGCAGCTACAATCAGGTACCCCTGTCCAGGAATTCTGTTCTTTGCAAAATTGTTTTAACTTTACTGCTGTTTGAGAATTTAAAAGGTTTATAGGGCCCCTGTGAGGTCTTGTTACAGCGTATTCAACAGAGCTGCTATGCTTTGGATCAATGTCCAGCTGCAAAGCCCTTTAACTAACGGTCACTGATGGTCAGCCATTCTCTATCAGGTTCTTCTGCCAGAGAGTAAAACTTTTGACTCTATAGTATGGCAGGCTGTCAAAATCGCCCAGCAGCTGTCCCCAATATGTCTGACCATCAATATGGTGTTCTTTACTTGAAACACTGTTTTAGATTGAGGATAGAGCTAATTAGATGTATTCTAAATGTTTCCTCTTTTTTTTTTGTCACTCCACAGAATTTATTCGCTCTGACTCTTGGGGACCACCAAGATGTTTTGACAGTTGTGGATTGAAGTCAGCAGTTGTTTTAGATTTGGATGTCAGCCATGCCTGCAAATTCTCCTCAGTCTCTCAGAGTTGATTTATGAACGCCAACTTTAATTAAAGCAAGTAAGGCCTGCTGTGTTTGAGACATTGTTTTGGGTTCCCTTTGTTCCTTTTGAAAGTCAATTAGCGTTTGGTGCGGCGGCTACTCCTGAGAAGGTTCTTCACTGCTTCATGTGTGTTTTACAGATTATGGCTATTTTCACATTTTTACTAGTGATACCCATCATATTGGAATAACGTCAGTATTGGCAGACGTTAATTATTGTTCTGGTTCCATCAGTAAAACTGGTTCCACATCAATACCTGCTAATCATTTCCTGGATGGTGCAAAGTTTAACTGAAACTGATTAAAAGCTAAGTTGCTTATTGCCAAGGTGTCATAGAGATTAGGAAATAAATATACATGGAAAATTATAGAGCACCCTTGTTTTCATCAGTTGCTTGTTCTAAAGCGGTATTGTCTGAAGGATATATTGAACACTGAAAAATATAGTTCAAATCTTTATTTCTGTGTACTGTAAAATATGAAATATCAAAAACTGTTTGCCATAACATATATAATAAGGAATAGTGATGCATATGATCATAATATCAAACAATAAAAATAATGAAACCCCAAAGCAGTTTAAAGAGTAGTTTATAGATGGATGAAGGAGGCGAAGATTAACCCTCTCATGTTGCCCAGCAAGATTTTAACCCTGCTAAAAATTTACTAAATGCCCTAAAGCGTGAAAGTAGTTTAGTAACTGTATAATGAACTCTGCCATTTCTGAAGAGTAGACCACTCAAATAACAACCAAGAATCAGACCAGAAACTTGCTGATTCAAGGCAACGGTCTAAACGCCTCTTTCTGTCCAAACCTCACCAATTGAAAGAAGCATTAGAGCAAATTTCATCTTTAATGATTACCTTTGACCCTAAGAAGAAAAAGGTAAATTCCACTACAAATTCAAATGTGTGCATACAGATCTTATTTTTAAAAATCGTTATTTTAATTTAAAAAAGAACATTCAAAAAATCATTAAAAGCCCCAAAAATAATAGAATGATTGTATATAAACAATCTCCCATAAACGAAGTGACTTTTGAACCCAAATTTACACTGATAATCAGTCAGTAACAGTTCACCCTTAAATGGCTGCATCTAAGACTGACTAACAGGGACATCTTGGTCTGTATCTGTGTCCTGCTCCAGGATGAAGCTGTAGCGCCTGTAAACGGATCCTCCTCTGCTGGTGTAAACTACGTCTACCTCATCGCCGCTGTCAGGCTCGGGCACGCCGTGGGGCATGTTGATGCTGCCGCTGCCGCTCAGTCTCTCGTAGCTCTGGTTCCAGCAAAGCCTCCTCCTGGCGTGGGCCTTGATCAAGGCAAACACAGCCAGGGCCAGACCCGCCGCCAGCAGCAGGGTGACGGGCAAAGCAGCTGAGGTGTGCTTTAATGCTCGGGAGGACATGTTCGTGTCTGATTCCTTACCGTCTCCTGACCTAGGCTGTGGAGTCTCCACACACAGAGCTAATGAAGACAAAAATAATTAAACTAATACAATTTTTTTTTTATTAAATGTGTCCTGAAATGCTTTAGGAGGATGGCATGTTTACCTGAGCGAGTGTCACAAACACAGCAGCTGGTTTGATTCACTGCAGCCTGGCAGCAGCGGGAGCAGCGGTTCTCTACAGCATGGAGGGCAAAGTCTCTGTGACAGGTCAGACACTGGTCAGGTCTGGGGCCAACACAATGCCTGCAGGAGCTGTCACACGGCTCACAGGTTTCCTATCAAACAGCGGCACAGATCATCGTACTTGTAAGACATTTGACAGCACACTTAGAGGATATCAGTGTCTTCATAACTAAAATGTAATATAAATCCATTTATTGTACCACAATGGGGAAATTCACTCTCTGCCTTTGACCCATCTCATTGGGGAGCAGTTGGCTGCCATTGTGTGACCACCAGGGAGCAGTGTGGGGTTAAGGGTCTTGCTCAGAAACCCAGAGTGGAGGCTGTGGGGATCAAACCGGGTACTTGCAACCTTCTCAGAGCACAAGCGCACCACTCTAACTCCCTTTATAAATTAGACAATAGTGTATCAACCCCAAGGTAGTATAACCTTTGAGCTATTGCACACTTTTCACATTTCTCCCACTCTAGTTGTGCATTTCTGGTGCTCCTCTTAAGGGATCATGACCGTGATCTGCTTTATAGACCAATGCTCTGCTGACTCTGCATCTGACTCTAGGTCCACTGTAAAATGCACTTTCAGTTTTTAGATGAAAAGATTGAAAGGTGTTTTCTACGATTTTTCAGAGCTGCAATTTTGCCTCAGAGATTTGCTGGAGGCAGTCATTTCAATCTACAGGTAAAAGCCAGTAAATTAGAATATTTTGAAAAACTTGATTTATTTCAGTAATTGCATTCAAAAGGTGTAACTTCTACATTATATTTATTCATTGCACACAGACTGATGCATTCAAATGTTTATTTCATTTAATTTTGATGATTTGAAGTGGCAACAAATTAAAATCCAAAATTCCGTGTGTCACAAAATTAGAATATTGTGTAAGGGTTAAATTTTGAAGACACCTGGTGCCACAAACTAATCGGCTGATTAACTCAAAACACCTGCAAAAGGCTTTAAATGGTCTCTCAGTCCAGTTCTGAAGCCTACACAAACATGGGGCGACCATTGACACATTGCACAAGGAGGGAAAGACACAAAATTTTATTGCTGAAGAGGCTGGCTGTTCTCAGAGCTTTGTGTCCAAACACATTAATAGAGAGGCAAAGGGAAGGAAAAACTGTGGTCAGAAAAAGTGTACAAGCGATAGGGATCACCGCGCCCTAGTCAAGATTGTGAAAAAAAAACGTTTGAATGCATCAGTCTGTGTGCAATGAATAAATATAATGTACAAGTTACACCTTTTGAATGCAATTACTGAAATAAATCAAGTTTTTCAAAATATTCTAATTTACTGGCTTTTACCTGTAGGTTAAAAACATTTACTCAATTTAAGCATCTGTTTTTAAATAAATGTAACTTCACAGTTGCATCTTCAGGATGGAGTTTGTCCTTTTAAGACAATTCAACAATGTGTATGACTATCTTTTCTGTTCTTAAACAAATCTAAAATTGCCTTTGGGATATACAGATGTTTATACTATGCTTGCTTGGAGAGAGCAGTTTATTCAGTTCAGGTGGAAAATTTTTAATGACCTAAAAAGTTTCTTAAACATCACAGCCTTTTTAAAAAAAAAAAAAAGCCTTTTGGTGCATTTCTCACATCATTTTAGTTCAGTTAGTTCAGCCTTCATAACATTTAGTCAGTGGTACACATCATGGTTTCTCATTCCTTTTAAAAAAATCGCAAATTCTTGGTTCATACAGCTTATTCATATTATAACATTATCATTAGCTTATGTCGTGTCAATCAAAATTAACTATCCTTCTGAATGCTGAATAGTTATGTCATATAAAACTAACAGTTCTCCTTTAATTGCCTTATTCATTGGATACAAAAATGTTGGTTTGAATATTGTGAGTTTTCACCACTGAAATGCCTTCAGACAGCAGTTTGCAGCCCGGAATAGGACGCTGGTGGAATATCTTCCTTCCTAATCACTATTCCTTATTCCAGTAAAGGAGTTTTTCACCTCCTGGAAGTTGAAGGTATATGACCAGTTTGATGTAGATGGATCTATGTGACTAGACAGAGAGGAATATCTGGATGTGCATGAATGATTTACAGTTCTATGCATGTTTTATGTCCTTTCCAAAATGGACTGCAATACTGTTAGTCATTGTGCACAGCTCTACCCAAAAAAAGGGTCATTTATGTTGTAAAAAAGGTTGTATATCTTTTGCTTTGCAAATGCTGTAACAAATTAGAATTGCAAAGAGTAGGAGCAGTAAAAATCTAAAAATCTAAATATTCCATGTTTTGTACTCAGTTACACTTAAAAATGTTATTTGTACCTTTACTGTAGTTTTTTAATTGTTGTCTGTTTTTGGCTGATGGTTCACAGCTGTGGCTGTAGCTTAAAAGAGCTCTGCTGACAGCACTTCAGTGCCAGAGTGTTTACCAGTGTGGTATGCTTCTAACTGGTCTTAATCCGCCAGAGTTCTTCCTTCCAAAGAATTTTCTTACAGTGTTTTTGTGAGCTCCTTCTCATGTTGCCTCTTTGTTCCTGGATTCTGTCTCCAGAAGCTCCTCGGTTTCTGAAGACCATATTCAAGTTTTAAATCAACCACCATGCAGTCGTTGGCAGCCTCCTAATCATCACCTCCTCTGGGCCCCACCGCTAATCGAAACCGTGCTCACTCTCCAACAGTTATCTCTTTAGTCAACCTCCTGTTGAACCAACCCTAGATGTCACCTGGTTCAGACGCATTACTTCCAAGCAGTTCACCCTTGAAGACCGGTTCCAACCTCCAATCACATTCCACCCCCATTAGACTCAACCCATTCCTTCTTGGTGATTCCATCTCTAATCACCAGTAAGCAAAACCTCTTTTTCAAGATTCATTCAATCCATTTCATTCTTATCCTCCCTGTCTTCCTCTATTATACAGCCGGAGACTCGTTCCTGTTTCCTCAGTCCTGGACCTCCTTCCTGATCTCAATAAACATTTCTAACTTTTTCTTGACTCTTGGGTGTGCATGCATCAGAGATGGGAAGTAACGAAGTACAAATACTTCGTTACTGTACTCAAGTAGATTTTTCTGATAATTTTACTTTACTTTACTACTTATTTTTATGGCGACTTATTACTTCTACTCCTTACATTTTTACACAAATATCTGTACTTTCTACTCCTTACATTTAAAAAAATTGGCTCGTTACTTTGGTTTTGAATCATTTCAATGGAGTTACCATTATTATTTTTCACAGCATCAATACCAAATTCAATCTAATTGGATGGGAATCTACGTTGCATTTGACGCACCACTACAAGATGAATCGACAGATTCGGCGGTATTCATTCGCGGCAAATCATTGCAGCTTGGTGGCGGTGGCGTTAGCATAGTAGCATGGACGACGAGATGATTGAAAATGAACACAACGGAGATCTAGTCCTATTGGCAGACATCCATTTAAAATTTAGTCAACGGCATGAAAAAAGTGTTTTTTACTTTTATACTTTAAGTAAATTTACAAGCCTGTACTTTGTTACTTTTACTTGAGTAAAGAAGTTTAATCAGTACTTCCACTTTTACCAGAGTATTTTTTAACACAAGTATCTGTACTTTTACTCAAGTACAGAAAGTGAGTACTTTTGCCATCTCTGGCATGCATGTACTAATTCAAGTAATGGAATCAGATTGAATGTGAAAAAAATCTGGATTGTTAGTCCATAACAATTAAATAATATAAGTAGATTTTGGAAAAAATTTAAACGGTATATCCCTTCCTTTCACAGAAAAGTTATTCACTATTTGGTGCTGGTCTATTAAAAGCCAATGAAAAGGAGGATTCTGAATATTTTATATATATATATATATATTACAGATTAATGTTGGTGCTTTTATCTCTCTCATTTAAAATAACTGAAAAAAGAAAAAAAATGAAAAGTGTTTCATGTTTTGTGTCTTAATGTATTTAGTCTCCCTGATCACTTTGAACCACTACAGATAAATTATATTTTACCATTTCTGAGAAGTATCGGCCCTCCTCACAGCGTGGGTAGCAGACTTTGTCCCTCAGAGTGCTCCCCGAGTCGCATGTCAGGCAGCCTTGAGGCGAAGCATCTGAAATCACATGTAATCACACTATTCTTACACAAATGGGAAAATGTATCCTCAAACACTGACACATCAGAAAGACAGGTGGTTGATCCTGTAGATGGAAAATACAGCTTATCATTCACTTAATGAGGAATAATATATATAACACATCATGCCTGTACCTGTGCAAGTCTGACAACTGGTATGGCACTGTTTGCAGATTTCATCAACCTGATAGAAGCGGTGGGGGCAGCGTTCGACACACAGCCTGGTGCCTTGTAGCTCCAAGAGAGGAGGGAGACAAGCCCTGCAGGATTCAGGGCCTGGTCCTGAACACAGCTCGCAGGACGGGTCACATTTTTGGCAGTGAGAGCCCTGTTTGTAATACCTAAAGAAATACATAGATGATAATTTAGTACAAAAAAAAAAAAAATATATATATATATATATATTATATATATATACATACATATATATATACACATATATACATACATATATATATATACACATATATACACACATATATATATACACATATATACATACATATATATATACACATATATACACACATATATACATACATACATATACATATACATATATATATATATATATATACATACATATATATATACATATATATACATATATACATACATATATATATACATATATATACATATATATATATACATATATACATACATATATATACATATATACATACACATATATATATATATATATATATATACATATACATATATACATATATATACATATATATATATACATATATACATACATATATATACATATATACATACACATATATATATATATATATATATATATATATATATATATATATATATATATATATATATATATATATATATATATATATATATATATATATATATATATATATATATATCCATCCATCCCTCCCTCCATCCATCTTCTCCTGCCTATTCAATCAGGGTCATGGTGGGCAGTCTCCGGCAGTCTATGAGCAAGAAGCGGGGTATACTCTGGATTGGTCACCAGTCTGTTGCAGGGCAATACAGAGATGCACAAAGCCATACAATCATGCACGCACACATTCACACCTAATGACAATTGAGAGCTGCCAATCAACCCAACAATAATGTTTTTAGACTGTGGAAGGAAGACGAAGTACCCGGCGAGAAACCACACATGCACAGAGAGAACATGCAAACTCCATGCAGAAAGACCCTGAATTGAACCCAGCATGTGCCTGATTTGAAAAAAAGCTGATGACACATGCTGCCTTTCAACCTAATTACAACCTTTGATAAAATTTTGATTTCAGAAGTGAGGGGACACAAGTATTTTTTAATATAACTTCAGAGTGTTTGACCATCCAATTACAGACCCGATTCAGTGTTTGTAAAGTGAGGTTCTGAAGAGTGACAACGGTGACAGACAATCACACAAGAAAGGATAGAGGGCCATTCATGAGCTTGTAGGCGGTCTAAACTCAGGGAAGCGGGCTTCAGCTTGAGCTGCGGTTTCCCACTTGGTCCTAGTGCTTGATGAATATCTGTGTAGTGTAACATTGTTTTTGGACAGTAAAACGTGCAGGAGACCAAAACAGACTTTTGAAAAAGTGCAGGGGACATGTTCCCCCCTGTCCCTTTTAAAAAATGACATCAATGATCATAACCCTTCAGTGTGAACTAAATTTAATCAGATCAAGCTTCATTTTCTTACCCCGGGGGACAGTGGAGGACGCAGAGCTGTAAGAGCCTCAGGTATCCAACAGAGCATGTCAGGCAGTCTCGAGGTGAAGCCCCAGTGCAAGTGGAGCAGACATGGTCACAGGGCAAACAGAGTCCCAGCTCCTGTCCATCAGCTTCCTGCCTTGTGGAGTATGTACCAGCAGGACATTCATCCACACAGCTGCTGTCTAGAAAAGAAAATGAAAAAAAATTTATTTCATTATGGTTTTCTGGATTCTTCTTCATCTCTTATTCTTATTGTGTATCAAAAAACCTCAAAACAATTTTGTATGAGTTGTCTATCTTAACAGCCCTCTAAGGTGTGGTAGAAAATCTTTTTTTGTATATAAAAAAAAAAAACGGAAAACCATAAAAAAAATGATTAAAACTGCACAGTAGATGCTAATACTACGACTACATTGGAACGGAAATTTCAATGAGCTGCAAAGTCCCCTGTCCTGCCTTAGGAAAGATGCTTTACGCTAATGTCTGCTTTCAGGAGTGGAGGCCTAGTGGTTAGGGCATTGCGCTTGGAATCCTGAGTTCAAGGACCACTAACACAGACTTCCACTCTGGGTCTCTGAGCAAAGACCCTTAACCCCACACTTCTCCCCGGGCGCCGCACAATGGCAGCCCATTGCTCCCCAATGGGATGGGTTAAATGCAGAAGCGCTCTCTACCTGTGACAGTGTAATGACAATAAAATGCTGGAAAACAAAATATCATTATTAAGCCAATAGGAAAAGGGGGAGGTATGTGAAACCAAACAGAGCCTTGCAGCTTCTATAGAACTTGAAAAGGCAAATAAGCACATCCTTTAAAATAACATGGTTATCAAGCATGCACTTCAATGTTTTTAATTGGTAAGAAACTTGAACCTTATCTATACAGCAAAGAGCTGTATAAATAGGGTTTGGTTGGTTTGAGGTAAACCGAAGTCTGGATTGTCTGGCTCATTTGTAACGCAACAAAAAATCTAATATTTCTGTCATTCCTAGTTACAGTAAAGTGCTTGGATAAAGACAAAATAATGCTAGACTACTTGTAGACTTAGTTCAATAATCTCTCGTTAAAAAGATGTATCCTAAGTCCTAATTTTCTACAAAGATTGTAGTAAAGATTACAAAAGATGCACCTGAACAAGTTAGACTTCCAATGAAACTTAAATACAGGACATCCTGGTTGGAAGGCAGAAGATTTAAAGATAAAGCTCACCACCATCTGCTTTAAGAAAACATTAGCTCATTGTTTATTATATCAACAACATAAAGTGTGAGAAAGATAAACCCAACAGGAACAAGGAGTCTTTAACAAAATGGTTGGCACAGAATAAAGTTACTTGATCTAGGAGCCCAAGGGCTTTTTGGGCTTTTTAAAAACCTTGTAAAAGAGAAACCATACATGTATATAGAACATGGAAATTCAATGCAAAAGGAATTGAAAATGAGGCCTTCTTTGTGGAAAGCAACAGTGCAAATAAATGAGCCAAAATGAAGCTAAATGCTGTTTATACCTGTAAACTCCACAATTCAAAAAGAGAATTGTGGAGGTCCAAGAAGCAAAAACAGACCCAACTCATCAGTAACATCAGGAACTCCGATCTCAACGTATGTATGAGTAACAAAGAGTGCAGTTTGATTCAATGTCACACAGTGAGAGAAAATGTTTATTTGTATCCTTTCTGCACTGTATAGGATGGAAATATTTGATTTCATTTGAAAGAGTTTCAATCAGTTTCATTTTCTTTGAAGACTGTGAAGGATTACATCTATGATTATTTGCCAATATATCCTAAAAAAAGATTAACTTTTCTTCTGGAAGCTTGACTATTGTTTTTTTTGTTTTTTACTCCTTGTGTTCATATTTTAAAGATGGAAGCAGCAGAAACCAAGTAAGGAGCCACCTCTAATGTATCCATCATAAAATTGATCATCTGAAGTAATTAGTAGTGTGTTTATTATCTATGTTGTTTAATTCTTTTAGAATCTTAAAATGGGTAGAAAACACTCACTGTGAAGGTATCTGGGGGCGGCACAGGTCAGACACTCATCGTTGCCAGGGCCCTGACAGGAATAACAGTGCTGGTGGCAACCTATGCAGGTGAACTGATCATCGTGCAGGTAAGTTCTCGTTGGGCAGGTCCCGTCGCCTGTGACGCCACACAGTAAAGTGTTGGGATCCAGTACTAGTCCCCTCTCGCACTGGGTGCACTGGTTTGGGTCTGGGCCACTGCAGCTCATGCACGTCTGGTGGCATTCTGCAGAGTCAAAGAGGTCAGACAACAGTTTTTCCTTTGTTTTTGTTTTTTTGTTGCTTTTCCTTCTCCATAACTGCACAGGTATTAGGAAAGAAACTCCTATCTTACACACAGGAATAGTTAGTCCAGTGGTACAAACCTTGGGATTCTAAATCTCCTTTAGTAAAGGTTAAAGTTCTTGTTGTGCAACATGCAAATAAAGAAATATATTCTGTATGAATCGGTTTATTTGCTTTGGGTCAGGAAGCGGCTTCATCTTTAAAGAAATGCTACCGGGTTTTGAGGACCTCCCTCATCTTTGTGTTCTCCACTGTCACTAACATGCTAAACAGCTTTTGTCCACATGCAGTGTATCTTTGTTCATGCCTTTTAGGACAGGTCTGATAGATGCTATTTGGGGAATATTAAATGCTGCAATGTTCAGTAACCTGCTGTTGTTTGCGGTTACCATCATGTAACTATATAAGCTACAAGCACTTAATGATAAGTATCCAGAGTTGTTACCTCTCTGGAAAACCTTATACAAGTCTACCTTTATTTTTAATCACAGAATAGTCACCACTGTATTGTAAGCTTTTTAATAAAGGTTAATTCAATTATGCAGATATTTTAAATGATAAAAACCCTAAAGCCTTTTAATTTTTTTTATTTTAATCTTGAATCTAAAAAACATCAGAAACAGAAGTGTTTAATCTTTTTATAATATAAGCTAAAGAGAAATTAGCATGACAAAAAATGTTACTTTTTGAAACTCTTTAAAACTAAGGAAAGGGCATCATCTTTTTTTTTGGGAAGTGGTATGAATTTTAAGACATCAACGATTTCACTCTTTTTTAACAGAGCTGAAGTATCCACTTAATATACCCTGAATTCTGTCACCTTTCAAAATTGGATAAAGTGAGCAGTTAACTGCACCTCAAATGTTCAATATTACATTCTTACTTGGTTCTATACCAAGATGCTTAAGCTCTTTGTGTGCTGAATGAAAAGCAAACCTTATATATTTATAGGAAAAGTTATTATTATCAAAGTTCAACAAATCAATATTCATAGCACCTAAAATTTAATGGAGTTGCTGGATTCTGTGGTTCCTAACATCATTACATCATAGTTCTAATACTTAGTTGTTGAAACTGTGGTAATTTGTCAATATAATATAATATAATACAATACAATATATATTATATGTACTTAGTACAAATACATTTGTTTATTCTATTTTTCGCTGTTCTATTGGGTGTCTAAATCTCATTATTCCTATTTTGCAATAAGCTGGATAATGCTCTCTTCTGAGTATCCACCAAATCCATCCTTATTCAAACACTTTGCTTGTTTGCTAGGATGGACTCATTTAACAAGGAGGCAATGGACGTCACAGCCGCTAACAGCGCAGGAACTTCCAATGCAAAGTACATTCACAAAAATATGCCACAGGCTTATAGATGCATCGGTGGTGAACTACTAAGGTTTCAGTCTGATCATCGAACAATGTTTGAGTGATGAAGGTTTAAATAAATGTTTTTTTTTAAAGATATTTTTCAGTAAAAAACTTACAAAAAGTCTCTTTAAGTCCAATAAAGTTGCCATGAGCTGTTTTTGACCATTGGTGAAAAAATGCTAAGCAGTGCCAACCGCTTTATAAGGACATTTTTCCTTTAACTATGTAAACAAGTTACTAAAGACAAATAATCCGTTGTCCTTTTTTTTGTTGTGTCCCTTAATTTTAATGATGCTGTTTTTTCTTTAACATTTTCTAACTAGCAGCTGAGTTCTTTGCAGAACAGCTACAATATGTTTAACACTGCTAAGGGAAATGTATTGCATTTCTTTTTAATTAGAGGTAAAGAAAGGGGCTAATTATAGAATGCATATTAATATTCAAATTTTTAATTGTGAAAAACATTTTACTGTTAAGAGTACTAAAAAGTAAAATTTGAATAACATTTGTGAGAATATTATAAAAAAAAAAATTAAAAAAGTGCAAGAAATTGAATTTGTATGCTCACCTTGACACTCCATAGCTGCCACCTCATAGTATGTACCCATGGGACATTCTTTGAGACATGAACCTTTATAGAGTCTGGGACTGAAGGTCGAGCAGGTCTCACAGTCATCTGCCAGCGGCCCAGAGCAGCTGCCACAAGTAGGGTGGCACTGAGCACAGAGGCCCTCTTCCATGTCCTCATAATAACCCACAGGACAGCTGGCCTTGCACACACCGTTCAGCATCAAGTAGAGGAACGTACATTCTGTAGCATTAAGATAAGGTGGAAATCAGACCTTCGTGAGATCAAGTTTTGGCAATAATTCAGAACAGATCTGATAACTCACTGAAACAGGTTCTGTCATCAGAGCAAACGTCACAGTGAGGGGGGCAACGTCTGCAGGTCCCATCGTCTGCTGGGTATGTCCGCAGTGAACAGTTTAGTCTGCATGTTCCACTCTCCAGGTAATGGCCATCAGGACAGGACAGACACTGAAATTTGTTTTCATCACAGGTCAAACAGGAGCTATCACAGGCCTCACATAATCCGTCTGGAGTCTCAAAGGAGCCCCTGGAAATGAAACAAGGAAGACATTTGACATGAAACTAAGTGGAAACGGCAAAATTACTTATTTGATTCATTTTAAGATTCTCTCCTATAGCTCACTCTGGGCAATTTGACCAGCATCGGCCTTGGTGCAGAAAAAGTTTGTTATTGCCTTTGGGGCAGCTGATGCAATTATCACTGCTGTCCACACAATCCTCACAGTTTGGTGAGCACTCTTCGCATAGCCGGGTTGCAGGGTTTGCGTAAGAGCCTGATGGACACTGCACTACACAAGAACCCTCCAGATCCAGGAAATATCCTGGGAAACACACAAACATCCAAACATATAAGTGTGTAAAAATTGGAATCATGTCCCAACGTGCTGTACAACAGAACAGTCGACATTTGTACCTTGGAAACAGGAGGAACAATCCAGTGCCTGTGGGCCAAAGCAGGTCTTACAGGATGCATCGCATGAGTGGCATCCACCGAATGTCCCTGGAAATTAAACACAAGTTAAATAAATAGCAAGACTTATTTTACCCTTTTCCACCAGTAGAGGGTAGCATAATATCTTTAAACTATTGGTGTTTTCAGACCACAGTTAATGAGAGCACAAAGTGTATAGAACTTGCAACAAATAGCCTTATAGAAAAGGCCCTAAATGCTTAAGACTAAGAAATGTACCAAATAAAAGCATATTTGCAAAGAAACCTTTACCCTGAAAAAACTGACCCCAAGTAGTGGTATCCTTGACCCTCATGTATTTTCCTCTTATCTGAGTATATTTGCATTTTGTCAAATGTCATACATTCAGAAACATACATTACATGTAAAATTGTAAGTTTGTCTGTACTATTCCTACAGGTATTTTAAAAAGATGTAATGATAGATGAGCAAGTATTAGGCTGAATTAAATGTTAAGTTAAATCCTGTATTTTGCCTGCAAAAATACAGCCTAAATAAAAAATGTTTTTTACAAAATAATTGGAGACCAGCCTGGATTCACTGGAAATAATTGTGATGGCATAGACCCATCTGCGACCTTTTGAAAGGTCTTCCATTTGTGTTGAAGCGAAGATTTTGGGAACGACAAGAACCTTTCCCACAGTATTCGGGATAATGAAAAACAGTGGAAAGGTCTGGAGGAGACTTCCTGGAGGTGTCTAATTGGTGATGAAGGGCCTCGGCCAGACAAGTAACCAGCAGAGTCTCACAAGAACCTTTGCAGAAGAGCAATTATCACCGTAGCTTTGGACTAATCAGGCTTTTATGATGCTGGAAGAAGCCAGTCCTCATGAAAAGGTACATGATGTCCTGCTGGCAGTAAAAGGGCTCAGAAACCATAAGAGACAAAGTCATCAGAACTGATTGAAAAAAGTCCAAAGTAGCTATGCCAACAGATGAATCTAACAACATGTAAACAGCAGCAGCTCCTCTTGTTTTTTGTCACAAGATAACAACAAGCATCAAAGTGTTTTAAGGTATTTTATAGGACAAATAAACATAGAGTAGCACATAACTGTAGAGTTGATAGAAAAGGTAATAAACAAAACTCTGCTGCATTTGGAGGATAAATAGCCCTGAAATAGTCTAATTAGTACAAAGAGTCCAACTGTGTGTAGTTTCATTTGGGTTTAAATGCACATTTGAAGGCCTCTGAGATTTGTGAAAATGAACACTAAAGCAGAATGATTGATTTTTACAACATCTCAAATTTTAATGTTTCAGCTAGAAATAAAAGAAGCATGAACCAAAGAACATCATTATCAGAGAAGTATAATATAATATAATTTGAAAGGGTTTTAGTCTTGTTAATATTCTGCCCAGCATTAAAAATTCTCCATTTAAACGTAGTTAGTGATTTATCCTTCTTCTTGTATGATTAAAATAGCTTTCATTTGGGTAAAAATTATGTATTTATAAGTTTATTTTCTGCTGTTTAGAAACACACTAGGCTGTACAACCTGGAAGTAGTGCAAAGGTCAGATTATAAATATGCACAACCAAAGCAAAGCTCATGTGGATAACTCTGCATGACCAAAATAACGGAGCACTGTTTCCCTGTGCTGTTGACCCAGACACAGAGGGAAAGTATTCAAAGAGCCAGACACAGCCAATGATGGTGTGTTTGGTCTCACTGCCCCTACAGGGAGAAGCCACCTTACTAAGGTAGCTACCCTTGAGCAGGACACACAATCCCCCCTTTGCTCCTGGGACAGGAAACTAAACTCTAACATGCCTCTGAAGGTGGAAAGGAAATCATTTCTATCCTCAGATCAATGCCGTCTCTGCATAATTATTTTTGTGCGCAGTCTTAGGTATGATGCCAGTGTGCCAACAGTTTTTTTCACTTTGCTTTCTCTGCCTAACTTTATTACAAGGAATCACATATAAATCACCAGCACTTAAAATCATCCATCTCTAAAATGACAAACACTTGGCAATAGTCAAAATAAATAAAGACTGCACTTCCTCTTTTAATTAAACTGTAATTTATAGTGTTGGGTTCCGATCCAGCAAATAACAGATACAGATGACAAATGACTGGAAGGGGAAACCGAACAAATAATTAAAACATCTTCCAAAACAGTTTTAAACTGATGCAATGTTCTGACTATAACTCATACATATCTATTTTAATGGATGTGACTCATGATTCTTATTGTTGATGCTGCTATTGTGGGTTATTGTTTTGATCTCCAGGCAAGTGCAAAGCATCAGGTTAAGAAATGTTGACCCAAAGAGCAGAGAAGGTAATGTATAAAACATTATTAATGCTTTAACTTAGAGGATGGAACAGCTATCTAACATATTCCATAAGTACGGTTTCTGACTAAAAATGGTGTTTGGACACAACTTTGGATACTGCTGATTAAATGAATACTGAACAGAGTATAAGTGAATAGGTTTGGTTGTTTCAGTTACTTTTGGGCCTGATTTGAATGTCATTTTCACTGCATTCTACAACCTGGAGTTAGTAGCAGTTTGTCACATACTCAATTAACTACACAACGTGCAAATGCATGGTGTGAAGAATAACTCATGGCAGCCAGTGAGATGTTTTATTGTGGTGGAACTTTTACAGTTACATTTATTTGTGTCACCACTGAGCTCTGTGATGTTGTTATATTTATTTTTGTTTATTTCTCTTAAACTGCACAGGAAAATTATGAAATTATGCTCATAAGCCCTGATCTACTAAAATCCCAAATGAGTGGCACAAAATTGAATAAAATAGGCACTAAATTGAATAAATGAAAAAATAAATTGAATGAAACTAAAGTTCAAAATACGTATTCTATGTGCAATTAAGGGGCATGTTCTGAGTGATCTGTTTGGATTGCACAATCAGATGATAATGGGTAAAAAAAAGTGGTGCAGATCACTTATTTAAATGAGGATTTCTTATTTTACTTTTGTGTATTTACATACCTTTAGTAGATAAGGCCCCATACCTTAGTTATACATTAGAGAACAAATAGATAACTAAGAATAGCTACGCAAACATTTAAATAGGGAAAGAAATGTCTATAAAACAACATTCCAAACTTTGAAAATCTTACAGAGCAATGTTCTATCCACCATCTGACAAAAAAGGGAGCAGCACAGCTAGAGTCTAAATTGACATGGCTGTTAATTTCGTTTAATAACAAGCTATGAGGCTGATAGTACCTCTGAAGGAGCTGCTACAAATGTTACAAATGTAGACTTGATGAAAGTGTGGCAAAAAATGTGCCTTTTTTTGAAAGAAAAAATATATAAAATACTCTTTTTGAAAACAATGAGATAAATATGATGAAAATTCTGCTATTTTTCTTTTACACAATAAACTATATGGACAGACTAACTTTAGAGATAATGATTCTCCACAGTGGAAGATAGTGATCGCAGCATCTTATAGAAAAGCTTTTCTTTAGCAGAAACAAAGAAAATATGAAGAGTTGGTGGCTACATTTAATTGACCTAGATTGTGGGTATCCAGGAAGAGAACTTGTTAGGACTACTTGAAATTGGGGCAGAGGTTCACCTTCCAGGAAGCCAGCTTCTTCCTAGACGTTCTGTATCAGTCAAATAGGTTACTTCTCTGACCTCATGCTGATGAAGATTCCCAGTCATCCAGGTCATAGTCATTCCGTAAAAGTTCAAAAAAATCCACTGGACTTGGTTTCCAAGATTTAAAGACGTTTCGCCACCTCTCCAGGAAGCTTTCTCAATTCAAATGTGAGTTTGAATTGAGAAAGCATGTTTCCAACATGCATGTTTCCAACATGCATGTTTCCAAGCAATACAAGGCCTTGTCTATATAAGACTCAAACTCACTGCGGATCCAGACATTTGAATTGAGAAAGCTTCCTGGAGAGGTGGCGAAACGTCTTCAAATCTTGATGAATCAAGAAGAACATTTTTAATCTGAAAGACAACAGGTCTAATCAACTAGATCCCAGATTCACTGTAGAACAGACAGCTACAGGAGATTATGACTGTAGATATCAATTAACAGCTACAAAGACTCATTATAAAAAAAAAAAACAAATAGAGTTAAAACAACATTTAATTTCCCTTTTCATTAAATTAATTAAAATAATTGAATCTGAACTGAATTGCTCAGATTCATTTTCCAGAAAATGTGTGAATACTTGACACAGAGAGCCAATGGTTTGAGAAGCACATGCTACATTAATCAAATACAGCGCTCACCATCAATACATGGTAATGATTTTGTACTCAGGGATTGAAAACAGGGTCCTTGGTTTCTCTGATGCTCTGTTTGGTCTCTCCCTTGCCTGACTTCACTCAATTCTTGGACAGGTTTCTGGTCTGGATAAGATTACCTCAGCATGCCAGACATACATTCAACAATCAGATTAAACCAATTTATGTGAGCTTTGTTTCACATATTGTTAACCTCTTACACCCTCAGGGGGTATAAATAAATTTCTGCCTGACAAAAACACACAAAAGTAAACCACTTATAGCCTCACAGCTATTAGATTTAAGAAGAAAAGTTTGGTACGTCTGTAAAGGTAAGATGTCATAGAATGGTTTTCTGGTGTCAGCACCATTGTAGCTTTGACCCTGCCTGAAATATTAGGGGCAAAATACAAAATATTTTGCATTTTTTGAACCTCGCCAAAATTTTCTTTGAAATAAACATTGCAAAACACTACCAACATATTATTTATAGCACAAAAAAGTAGTACAGACTTTTAAATCTAAATGTTGTGTAAACATATACCAAATTTTGACTCAATCAGATGAATCATATTTATTTTAGAATGGTATTAGTGAGAAATTTCTTAGGCGGAGGGGCCATTTTGGCACATTTATCCAAAAATGTCACCAAACTGTGCCAAATGTGTTTTTTACATCAATACTGGGGGTTTGTTAAAATTATGAGGTCACGTAGCAGCTGGACCCACCGGTGGGTCCATAGGGTTCTAGGGGTTAAGAGTAACACGAAATCTCGCACATTCCTTTCGACAAATCTTTCCCACTTTCCTCATACCAACTTTTACCATTATTATCTTGCCATAAAAAAAGCTAGCAAACTGTGCAGTGATTTTGAATTGCAGGCTTAAATGCTTGATAAATGTGTCTGGTTAAGTATTATGAAATGTAGCAAAATTATTACTTTCTATATAATCATCCTCAACATTTTTTTAGTATGAGTTGAAATTCTGTGACCATTCTGTTTTATTGAAGACAAAAAGTGAAACAACACACTTAAGGGCAGATTATTTTGGTATTTAGAACATGGAATGAGGCTAAACATTACAGGCAAAATAAAACAGTCCCGGTTGGACATTAAAACAACTTGATTTAAAATGGTTAAAGACAAGGAACATTTTAACCCCTTAATAGTCAGCCAGGGCTAAAACCTGTTGGCTCCTTAAACCTCTAAGTTCTCACTAGAGGTTAATGAACAGCGAGAAAGGTTTTAACATTTTCAAAAAGAAAAAAGTACAATAAAAGTTGGTCTACATAATGTACACACACAGTCAGAAATACCCTGTTCTTGCTTTATGTAAGGATGCTCCACAGTTTTCCATTTCCACTCTAAAGAAAATCTCACATTGGGTTTTAAACAGAAATAAAATCTTTTAAGGAAAAAGATTGTCCTGGTCACAAATTAATCAGAATACCTAGGATTGGTGTCATAAACAAAATTCTATACTAAAGTCCTGAGCATGAATAAACCTCCCGATAGGACATACTGTAAAATGCAAGGTCACAACTGAAACCAATAAACGAATGACCTGGTAGTTTGTCTTTGTTTCACACAGTTTTAATTAGAAGGACTGATGGTCCAGATTTATTTTTAACAACAATGTGCAGAATGTGATGATGAAGCACCTTGATTGCTGCATCCTTGATTCTACTTATTAACCCTCATCATCAAATAGATTTAAGATTAATCTTTTCACCAAACGCAGTCGCCTTACTGGTAATGAGTGTGAAAAACAAAAAGAGTGGATTTTAAATCACTTCATCTTGGTGAGTCAAAACTATTTAACATTTATTTGGTTTTACCGTTGCCCTTTTCTTTCCAAAAAGAAACAAACTGTAAAATCCATTTAGTAATTGATCCGATATATTTCTACTCACCCAAGCACACGATTTGAAAGTTCAACCTTTTCATTTGCTTCAAACATTCAAGCTAGATTTCTCCTTTAAACTTTAATCATGAGCCAAAATTAAATGAGACTTTCACTCACCATCAAAATACTGGCCAAGCGGGCAGTTAACCTGGGGGCACTGTCCATGCAGAGGAAGATTACCGCTCAGACAGAGGTCACATTCTGTGGAATGAGGCCCATGACACATCTGGCACACGCTGTGGCAAGGCTGACAGCGCCGCCCACTGGAGTCACTGAAGGTCTGCGGTGGACACTGCTTTATACACTCCCATCCTGTTGCAGCAGAGACAAAGTGACTTCATTGCTGTGATACAGTTCTCAAAAACTGAACACAGACCTTAGTAAAGATACAACGCACTTTACACCTCACTGTTTAAATATAAATAATATCAGCTTACTGAGGGGTGAGCATGCATTCTGGTTTTTGGTTATTCCAATTATTTGTTCTTAAAATCATGTTTTAATGTGAATACGGTAAGTAAGTAAATAAATTAGTTTTAAATGTATTAGCTCATATATCTCTTATATTTAACACTATCCAAATCGACCTGGGATTTGTTTAAAACAACGGCAATGACAACTTAATGACAGCAGCTGTCATCAATTTCATCAACTATCATTTGTAAAACTGTCAGTGAGTCTTTCAAGAGAGAATTTCTGGATCAGTTTTCTTGGCGACATTGTTTTAAGTCAGTAATGTTGGGGGGATTGTAGGAGCTGCCTGTTTATGCTCACATTACAGTATCTCATTTATATTTAGTTTGGACTGCTTTTCGGCTAATCCAAAGCTATTTCTACGTTGTGCTGAACCTTTCACAGATTGATAAGTTGGTTTGCTTTGGGTATTTTTTTTACTCCATCATGGGACCAAAGGTGGTTTATGCTTCAGGTCACATAAATGTATCCTCTGACAGGGAGCGGGATTCATGGTTCCATACATTATGGGACATCCTTCTTTTTCTGTGCCAGCTGAGAAACCCCAGACCATCACACTACCACTATCGTGTTTGACTGTAGGGATGATTACCTTCTTCTGAAACACTGGTTTAGGTTTATGCCAAATTTAACAGGGACGCTTTGCCACCATAAAGTTTCAGTTTTGTCTTCTTGGTTCATAAAACATTTTTCACAAAATCTAAGGCTGGGTTAAAAAAAAATTATTTAATCGATTCCTTTACATTTTTGCAAAATTTATGTGTAGGGAATGAGATGGATTAGTTTTATAGTGACGCGCGTGACGTTCACATTCAAATGAGCAGGCGTGTGCAAATGCCGACCCAAGTAACGCACCGCTCAGCACTCGTCCCAACTGAAGTCTGATGTCTGGAACCATTTTTGATTTAAAACAGCTGAAAATAATGTGCCGGATATGTGACATTAAGGTGACTTCCCACCACATTGATAATGATTGGCACCTCGCATCTCGTGCAACAGACCACCAAGATTACTTTGAGCCAGACAGCTGCAAATATAGCCAATAGGTTGACTGAAGACATTGACAAATGAAAACAGAGAACACCCCGTAGTTGTTAAAGACGACGCTGCAAATATGGGTTGTGCAGTGAAGATAATGCAGCTCATGCAAGTCTGTTGTGTCATGTCTGCTTGCTTGTGTGAGGCTTCACTTTTTCTCTTTTCACAAACAAGTTGCCACTTTTGAGACAGTTTTGTTCACATCTCAAGTTTAAACTGATTTACATTAAGTTTGCACTTTGTGTTCAACTGTAAAAAATAAATTACATGAGTATTTTGAAACACAGTTGAACCACTTTCATTATTGTAAAAACAGATCGAATTGAAATTAATCGATTAAGAACTATATGAATCAAAATCGAATCAATTTGCGACTTTGGCCAAAATACCCAGCTCTAATCAAATCTCCAAGATGTTTTCAGTACATTTCAGACAGGCCTTTTGACTGCTGTTGGTCCACAGTGGTTTTCACTCTGAAACTCTAATAATGTCAGTTTTTAACAGTTCCTTTCATGTTAAACATGAAAGTGCTGGGATATGATTGGCCTGCAGAGCTTCAGCATGCCTTATTTATGTAGTTATAAAGTTATTTTGGTGGGTACGCCACCTCTGGGAAGTCTGACCACTCTTTACTCGTCTCCATTTGTAGATGATGGCTCTAATCGGGATAAGCTGGAGCTTCAAAGCCTTAGAGGTTGCATCACCATAAAATGTAGATTACTTTTTTTTTGTCTTTTCTCTGACATATTCGATATGGTGTGATGGTTATGAAGATATTTTAGCCAACTTCATGTTGGCAGAAAGGATTTTATTGAAGAGATTTCTTGATTCTGTAAATTAGGCACTGATTAGGACTGGGTGTGGCTGGTGAAAATGACCTGTTTTCTAAAAGATGCTAATATATATGAACAATTTAAGAAGGAAGTAAATTTGATTTTCAAATAGGGTCAGACTGGATTAGATAATAAAATAGTTATGAAAGAATTAATAAATGAGTTTATTGTTCTTTCATTATATTATTTAATGATCTAAAAAATTTAGCTGAGATTTAAAAGAATAATAGAAGAAATCTGTTAAGGTGCAACTGTGGTTTTCCTAAAGGAAGAACCACCATTGTAGTTTCTTATTTCCTTTTCCGAGATCACCTCTTCTCCAAATTCCATCCCTCATAATGCCTATCTTAAGACTGAACATTCTTATAAGAGATAACAATTCATAGGGACTCTTATTTAATCACAAAGTGGGTACATGTAAGCTTGATTTGAACAAAGAGATCGAACAGTGGCTCATCCTTTTTAATAAAATACCCTTTTTTTCTTGTTTTTAGCTGATAGCTTATTGCCTATACAGAACAAGACAATGCTAATTTATTCTTTGCATAAACCATACATTTGCATATCTTTTCTACCAGATTTGCTGACACTCACCTGATTTGCAAACCAAATGAAGACTCAAGGGGGCCATTATTTGTTTATAACCAGGATAAATGCTCGCAGACACACACTAAACAGGCAGTTCTAGTACAATATAGGAACTGTCATGATCTGTCACTTTCACTTCACTTTAATTTTGTCATTAAGTAGCGAAGAAAATATATACTCAGAATAGGAGGTTTTTACACTTGTACCATTAAGGAAGTAACCCGGCTGGCAGGCGAGGCAGCGGGTGTTGGTGCTGCAGTCCTCACATGGTGCTGGACATGGCAGACAGACTCCACCAACATGGTCCTCGAAGGTGCCCTGAGGGCAGTGTCTGCGGCACTTCTGTCTGAAACTGTAAAGAATGGTTCATGGAAATACCACCAAATACCATTCATCATATTAATTTAATTTAATTTAATAAAAAATCTATAATAATCAGAAAGTTAATTGTCTCTACGAGCATGTGTAATTGGTTAATGGCTGTTTGACTTTTAGCTGCCATGCTTTTTAAACAAGAGGAAGTTTCTCCTTTTTTTGTCCCACCCCTGAATGAGCAGAACAAAAACATGCTACAGAAAAATCAAACAGCTGCTGTTTTCAAAGCACCGAAGGTGACTGCTGCTGCAAGCAGCTTCACTGCACTTGAAATTGAGATGAGATGAATTGGGAGACCAGGGATCTCAACATGCCCTGTGTCAGTGCACAACACACCTGCAGCTGCATTGTTGACTTCAATGCCCTGCTCCTTTAAGAGGTTTATTCAGTGAAACAATAGCATGATGGCTAACATACTGTAGAGGAGAAATTCACATAGGGATGTTCTGTTCTCTTAAAAGTTTAAGCATTTCTCTATTCCTTTGTAATATTGAGATTAAGCATATCACAAGAATAATGATTCAATTCGAAGATATTTGCATATAGTTCAAAACTTTTAATTACTAGGAATGCATACAAATGTTTGCACACTTTAGAGGTTAAAACTTAATATCATTCCTATTTATTAAACTAATTTGAATAGACTATCAAGAACATGAAGGACCAGGTGCTTTCTTCAGCTTTATGAAGAGTAAGATCGCATCTTGCTCTTCCACCTGTCACTACACAGTTGCAGCCAGCTGGCTAAATGAAAGATTGTTACACTTTTGTCATGATTACAAAGAAAGACAAATTGCACAGCCTGGAAATAATATTGAGCACAAAAAGCTCTGGTGGTTGTGTTGTGGATGCTAGATAAAGGAGAACTACCCATAGCTTTTCTGAAGAAGAAGCCTTCTGCAGGATAGATATGTGAGCAGATGATGATGGCTTAGAGGTAATAAAATAAAAGTTAGGTTTCTAAGAAAAATCAAATCCTACAGTTCTTGTTTTATGTCCTTATAAATAATCTAATTTTAGACGCATTGTTTAATAGTTTGTCTCAGAATTATTGTTGATTTCTTATTCTAGTAAAAGCAACCATCTTCTAAGCAGCTCAAGCCTACCAATTACCCTCTAGCTTTCCTAATAATGTCCCTCTTGCTGCATGTTGTGACACCTCCCTCTATTGCAGAATATGACCACTGACAGTGCAAGCTGCACTTCCAACTGGGTTGCCGTGGATTTGGTGATAGGATGTGGTCGCTGTTTGAGGACAAACAGCTGGAGACGCCACACCACATCCATCAGCTCACTCACAATAGCTAGAGATGGAGACCCGGATGTGTCTGAAGCCGGGAGACGATGCTCTGCTTGAGAATCTGTGGGATATTTAAGAAGCCCTCTCTGCAAATATTAGACCATGCATTCCAGGAGAGCATATTTGCAATCCATCGAAACTTTCAAATAAGTCTTTTACCACATTATTTTGCAAGAAACTAGTGAAACTCCCTGTAATTTGTGTATAAAATCCTAAAATGAGCAGGTTTAAACTATATTCCAAATGCAGCTCAGCAGTTTTCTAGTTTAGCTGCACTTCTTTAGCACCATGGGGAGAAAGATAAATGTCAACAAATACCAAACATCCATCATGCTGAGATTTTTTTTCCAACAGTAAGCCATTTATTCAAGAGTGACAAAGGCCCAAGGGATTCATAGTTACACCAAAACTGTATATCTTTTAAACCTTTAACATTTTTCCTTTTTAGCTGAAGGCTGAGACTGAAATACCACAAACTCTTAAAACACTGGGAACTGTCACGATCTATCCCAGAGCGGTGGCTCTTTCGCTCTATGATTGACTCATAGTTTATTGGGTTTCTTTTATTGGTTTGTGTAACCCATGGTAGATGCAATAAGAACCGTGGCTACAGGAATTACTAAGATGGCCTGTCATTTCATATTTTTAAAACCATTACTCTGACTCACCTATATGCACTGAGGAAGACTGAGTATTTCTGTGAACCTCTACAAGGACGTACTGTAAGTGAATAGTTTTGCTTAAAACTGAAAATCTGAAGTTGTTAGCTATGCATTCATTTCTCAGTGTTCTTTCCCTGCATGACATGCTCTGTCAGGTCTCTTCTAAGCTCAAACTGAGTTTCAGGTAACAGATTGTGTCTAAAAAAGGAGGGTAACCTGACTCACACCATACCAGGAGGCCTAAACTCAGGGGAGGAGTATACAATTGGTGTTCTGTTCTAGCTTTTAAACTACTTTTTCTCACTGGTTCTAAGAGATAAGCTGCTATAAACAGGAATCCTGGCAAAAGGTTCTTGTAATACCAAAAAGGAAACCAAGCTGAAATGGTTGGGAAATGTTCCTGAATGAATAATTATATGGACAGATATATTTTTTTTCAGTAGATAAATCAAAATAAACTGTAACATGTGTGAAATTTGCACATTGTAGTCATACATTAGTTTTTTTCTGGTTACAACAGTTTTCTTTCAGCTGCCCAAAAATACAGACACATTAGAACAATTGCTGAAAGGTTAAATTTTGTACATGTGAGATTGATTTCCTGTTTATGTTGCTCTAAGAGAGACTGGCTACCTGTCTAAAGTGAAGCCCGCCTCTCACCCAGCAACCAGCTACCTGTGATCATGTAAGGTAGATGGACAGATATAGACCACCTACCATTCAGAATAACTACATAAAAAAATGTATAAATTAGAAATGATGTTTCACTTTAGTTAATGAAACTTTTTATAATACAAAAACAGTTTGATAAAATATCTGCCACGAATAAATCAATATATCTTCTAATAACCGCTTATCCTTCTATAGTTGTGGGGGCAGCTTAATTCCAGTGGTCACTGGTGGGTGAATCCCCGTCAGATTACTTGTTTACCATAGGATGAACAGTTATTGATGCGCAATTTCACTCACTACGAAGAGAAACTCAGAGAGACCAATAAACTAACTGTGCATTTTTCCAGCTGCTAAATGAAGAGTACCCAGAAAGCATCCATGCATGTGAAAAAAATGAAACCACGCAGAAACACCAAAGACCAGGATTTAAATTACAGACATTCTTGCTGCAAAGCAACAGTGTAACAAGGAGAAAATGCATTAGCAGGAAATCCTAAACTTCTCACAACAAAAAAAGGCACAGTGCAGGGCAAGAGTAAACATCCCTCCTCTACTTTTTTTTCTGTTAAATGTTTCCATTACAACCATAAACATGGTACTGTAGATTTTATAGAGATTTTGTCTAATGGGTGTTTTTTTTTCAAACCAATGAGAACGTTTTTTGTATTTGCTGTGTCAAAATAAATTTGATCAAAAAGAAAATATTTTAAAATATAATTGAAATTTGCTAATTAAAGGGTGATATTTCTTTCATTGTTTATAAGCTAATATTAGTATGTAAGACAATGGAAACCTTACCTAGTAGGAAAAACATTTTTATCTGATTAAATCTCTGATTTTTTTGTGTCTTTGTAATGAAAAAAAAATACAGTTTTTGTATACAATTTAATGGTTCCTGTCTGTTCCTACCTGGGAACCTGCTGTCTGCAGTCCCTTGACATCAATCCCTGCTCCTCTGTTGCTCTGGCAGTCAGGGCCGGGCAGTTACACCCGCGGCTACTTTACCAGGTTTACCTGCATGTCTTTTATGACAGTTACTTCTTTCGTTTAAGATCTGTTGATCTTGCCGATATTTATGGACTGTATGCGCAATTAAATGCTGTACATGCTGTCGGGGCAACATTCACGCAAAGATGAATCAGCAATCCTATTTTAGGCATATTACTGCCACCTTAAGGGTTGGAGTGAGATAGTTAGTATTTTTATGCTTGTTAAATGCAACAAGGACTAAAAAATAGCACATTTTGGAAATTGCATCTTTATTAGTCGTGAATATATTGAATATTTTATTATTTATCCAGCCCCAATGATCACCATGATACAGGTCTGATCTGCAAATATCCAGAGCTCACTTGGGAGAATATTTTAACAGAATGACTTGAACGTATGCGTGAAATAAATCTGACCTCAATGGAAGTGGAAAAAACTAAGTTGTTCATAAAATCATCAAGATTTTTTTTTCCTGTTGTTTGTTTATTAATTTTTTTCACTACATACAACATTGAGGAGATAAAACAAGAGACTAAAGACTCCTTGGTCAGATTATTAACTCAAAAACTGAATGTTTAGGTTCACTTTCATAACATTATGTAAGGTAAAAAAGAAGAAAAAAGCATTGCATGTAAAACATCCCAAAGAAAATCTCAAAATCTAGACCGGACAAGACTCGAAAAATCTGTCACTATATGTAATGCAACTGAGCTTGTGCTTTCTTGTATAGAAGAATATGAAAAAGTATTTGACATCTAAACGTACAAACCTACAAAGAATTCAGGCACCGAGTAGGACCAACAAAAAATCTTTATCACTGAAGTCTCTGGTTGCAAGAAAACATTCAAGGAGTGGGAGTACTTTTGCAAAGTGCTGTGCATATGACAACAGTTATAAAGAGCTGCAAAGATGAGTTCTTCACAAAGAAAAAAAAAATTTGGCTTTATTTGCTTTGCAGCATTTGTGTTTAAAGAAAAGAAAATGAGACCCTATTGTATGACTTTTCTACCAGCAAACATGTGAGCAGTGAAAATGTGTATTCACTGAATAAAAGGAAAGAAAAAGGAAATAAATACTCACAGAAAGTAACCTTGAGTGCAGCTGCTGCACATCTCAGGGTCTTCTCAGTATAAAGGAGAAATTGAGATTAGTAATTAGAACTCAAAGGAAAAAACAAACTGCACTTTGCACCAACATCATCAGAGTCTTGATGTAAATTGATGATACTTTTTTTACATTAGAGGTTAGAGAGGGGTGCTCCCATAGAAAGCCTATTTACCTGTAGAACATGTTTTGCATCCCATTTCACAGTCAATACACTCTTCTGTATCGGGGTCCAGCATCTGCCCTGAAGCACACAGAACCATAAACAATAAAGATATTGCTATCCAGTTAAATCCTACACATCGACTCAACTACGCCGTTTTACCTATGTCACAAAGCGCTGGTTGACAGACCCCGTTCTGAAGTTTGTAGCGTTCCCGGCATTTGGCACACAAATTGCCATCTGTGCAGAGTTCACAATTGGCTATGCAGGGCAGGCAGGCATAGTGACCCCTGTCAGGGTAGAATCCCCTGGGGCAGTGCGTCCGACAGCGACCTTGGTGCAGGAAACGCTCCTGTCCGTCTTCATCTGTGGAAGAAGAGGAAGACTCTGAACCTCCTGCCATGAAGCCAATTGTATTATCATTGCTTAAGAATGTGCATAAATCACTATGGTTCTCAAAATAAATGAAGGGATAAATGCAGTCCAAGGTATAAAAGAAAGATGACACAGCACAGTTACTGCAGGACTGCTCAGTACCTGTCACTAAAACAGATGGAGAGGCTCACCAAGAGAATCAGTACCAATGATTAAGAACCAGGACATTAAGGGAATTAATCAGATGATTAATAAAAGCGGACACCAGCAGCAGGAAATGAGTGCATCTCAAATATATTGACCACAACTAACACATCGCTGCATTAAGACAAATTGGTAATGTTTCAAATGAGATAAATCTGGCTAGAAACTTTATTCTGAGGCGTATTACTGCAAATACGGGAAAAGCATTTATCCCAGTAATATGTATTTTTTATTTTGATAAGGGTATTTTAATTGTCATGTTGGAATGCAATTCACCACGGTTGGAAGTATTACTCTAAATAACAACATAGAGAAGAAAAAAAAATATATATAAATATGGTTATGTGTGATAGAGATGAGAGAAACTGGAAACTGAATACATGACGAAAAGATAAAAATAAAATAAAAAAAACATCATCTGACATCTTTCAGTACTTGGAAAGAAATACTACCTGCTCTCAGTAAAAATCAATATTAGCGTGGCAAGTCATAACTAATGGCCTACGAAAAGAATTCCATGTTAATTTAACTCAGTTTGTTTGTTTTCATAGTGCCAAGTGCTTTACTATGGAGGACCAACTCTGCCATATTTAAAAATAAATACAGAAATAAATAAATGCTCAATAAATAAATAAGCATACAATTAATTTCCACCAAAAATACAATAAACAAATAAATGTAAGTAGAAATTTAATTATACATTGAGACATAAATGTATATAACTCTTTTAATTAGCTTCTTTATTTATTTCCCTTATTAATATTTACCTAATTTAATTTTTTGTCCTTTATAATCTTCAACTTTATTTTTTAATTACTTATATTTTTAAGTATTTATTTATGGGCATGTTATAATATTTTTGTCTGTTTTATTCTTCCTTTGTATTTTTTTACCCTAGTTATTTCTTCGCCGCTATTTATCGGTCATTATAGGCAATTCAGTAAACCCCAGTTCTCAAACAATTCTGTTAAATGTAGGGCTGCAAGTCCTGATTATTTTGCTAAATGGTTCATCTATCATTTAGTTTTTCAATTAATAATTGGATAACAAAAGGTTCTTTAAAGAAGATTTTTTTACAGAATTAAACTACGCGAAACTATATTTTTCCACTTGAGGAGTTCTGCATAAAGCATATTGGCAGACAAAAAAGTTTTTTATTTGTTATGCAGAATGTGAATATATATATTTTTGAACTTTAGTATAATTAATCTCTATCAGTTAAAGCTTGTTCAGAGTATCTATACTCTGAAACTTAACAATTAAATTATTATTTCAATAATCAAATTGATCACCATTAATTAAATTCAGTTATCATTTAAGCTGGTTAACTAATTATCACACAAGATAATTTTATGCTGGATAAACCAAAGAGCTCTCTATACTCTCCTTATTGTTGTGAAACATAGTGGTGGCATTGTTATAGACGGGGTCATGTTTCCAAACTTCTGGCTGCACTAGTGAGGACTGCTGGAGGGCCTAATCCATGAAGGGAAATACCACTATTTCTCTTTGAACTAGCTATGGCCAGGTGTTTTCTGCACACTTTCAGACATAACAGTTCTACACTACCTGAAATGAACAGCAATGTTTGATTAATAAAACAAGTAATGCGCCCAACTACCTGGACCAATATGCTCCCTCTCTTCATAAAACTGCTCAAAAGAAAAGTATTGAGTCCTGCTAAAATATGGAGCAAAATTATTAGGATCAATGTGGTAAATGTTAACCAAATCACTGCAGATAGTAAGTCTAAGTGATCAGATTTCACTGCACACTAGGAAAGATGGCATATTATCATGAAGTCACCAAACCAGGAGTGGAATTTTGAAATAAGGAGGTGGGTAGATACTGGCATACCGTACCGATACAGTGCTCTTTATAAGAATCTGAAGATGAAACAATGAAAAATGATTCCATAAACAGATTTACTTAATCTGAAAAGAAAATAGTGCTCAAAAAATTATCTTGTCATTCTATAAGTGTTTCATTTGTTTCTTTTTCTGTGAACAAGTCATAACTTGTTCACTGTTTATAAGCCAGAAATCATGTCACTTAAACACTGGAAATCTACTTTATTCAGTGCAAGAGGATATATGTCCCTTTGATTAACAAAGCCCCCATTATGAGATGATCAAATTACTCTGAGAAAAGTAGAAAGAAACATGATCACACCTTCATTTTATTTTCTTTTTTTTTTCTTTTTGCCCCTGTGGCAGAAAAACCAGCGAATTCTGAGGCTTTTCTTTGAATGTTTAACAAGAGGGAAGGATAGACCATGTCATGTCTTCAATGCAAAGGGCTTGGTTTGTTAACCATTAAATAGTGATCCTTTGAAAACAAAAAATTGATTGTTAACCTTGTTGGAATTTACAGGAGGGAAAAACACCTGAAAACAAAAAAAGGGATATGTAATCATTAAAAAGTTAATATTTCTGTACATATTAATGCATCAGATAAAAGGTTATCGCGTTATGAGATATTGGAAATGTCACACGTGACAAAGTGTCATAATCTGAGGGAAATTACAGATTGAATTCCTTCAGTTGTTCATTCGTTCAAAAAAGAAAACTATCTACTTGATTTATTTTGCCCTTATTGGGTAGTTTAGGTGAAATCAAACACTCACAAACTCCACAGGTAGTGCAGTCAAACAGCTCGTGTCCGTCGCACTCGGAGCAGGTGGGATGACACAAGACGCACTGGTTTTTCAGCAGAAACTGTCCGCTCGGACAAGACGACGAAGGTTTACATCCAATAAATCCCACGTATATAAAGAGAAGGTGGAGGATTGTGGAGATAGAGCTCATGGCTGTGCTGCAGCAGGCTACTGCGTGGAAAGCAGCGTGGAAGGTGGTCTGAGAAAGACGCAATGTCCGCTCTGCAGGTGCGCCCGTGGCTGTCTGATCGATGTGTGGGTGTGTGTGTGTGTGTGTGTGTGCGGTGTGGGTGCTCTTGTCTAGCTCTCAGAGTGAGGACCATTTTTCCAATTTATCATCAAATTAAGGACCAGTTGTTGCAAAGTGTGAACATTTATCTGGCCCCCACTTGCTATTTTGCTAATGGTTCGGTTTAGGGCTAAGGTATCAATTGGGTAAGGGTTCAATTCAGTTCAGTTTATTTATATGGCGCCAATTCACAGCAAATGTCATCTCAAGGCACTTTACAGTTCATCAAATTTTACAGTCAAACTGATTCAAAGTTTTCTATCTAATTGACTCAGATGCAATCCCTCACACTAAGCATGCTTGTAGCGACAGTGGAGAGGAAACACTCAATTTTAACAGTGCGAGCGGCCATTCCCTGGGAGCGAGGGTGAGGAATGCATTGGTAATGGTTAAGTTAGTTTTAGGGTTAAAGGAATAGTACACCCAAAACATGATTAGCCTTCATTTTCTACTCACCCGCATGCTCAACAACACTCTGGAGTAATTTTTTGATATCTCAAATGCATCTGGAGATCTGGGAGGCTTCTTTCTGTCTGCTGACATTCAAATAATGGAGGTCCCCAGCGCCCGAGGCAGAAAGGTCCATAAAAGTCCACAAAAAACGTGTCAATATTCCTCCATACTGCTCGTCCAATGTATTCCAAGTGTCCTGAGTGGGTAGCGTCCATAATTTACTCGAAACAAAGTCATTTAGAATGTTTTAGAGCCTAAACAGTAGTGTATAGGATTTCCTAAAAGCGCGCGCCTGCGAGTTCACGACTCTACGGAAACCGCGGCAGACCAAACCAGATGAAAGTGCGCATTCAGCGTCTGCTTTCTCGGCAAAGAACTCATGCTCTTCCTCAACACTGTAGTCCTCAGACATTTTTCTTTCGTTGTTTCTTTCTTTGCACAGGTAAACAGCACATTTCTTCTTCTACGCTTGCATTATCGGCAGAGCATACGCTGAATGCGCACTTTCATCTGGTTTGGTCTGCCGCGGTTTCTGTAGAGTCGTGAACTCGCAGGCGCGCGCTTTTAGGAAATCCTATACACTACTGTTTAGGCTCTAAAACATTCTAAATGACTTTGTTTCGAGTACATTATGGACGCTACCCACTCAGGACACTTGGAATACATTGGACGAGCAGTATGGAGGAATATTGACACGTTTTTTGTGGACTTTTATGGACCTTTCTGCCTCGGGCGCTGGGGACCTCCATTATTTGAATGTCAGCAGACAGCAAGAAGCCTCCCAGATCTCCAGATGCATTTGAGATATCAAAAAAGTACTCCAGAGTGTAGTTCATCATGGGGGTGAGTAGAAAATCAAGGCTAATCATGTTTTGGGTGTACTATTCCTTTAAGGCATAGAAAGGGATAAAAATGACTGATCCCTACGATGGCAGAATGAGTGAGTGTGTACCTGTCTAGCCTTCAGAGTGAGGACCATTTTTCCAGTTTCACCATCAAATTGAGGACCAGTTGTTGCAATATTAGGACATTTTTCTGGCCCCCAAAGCTATTTTGCTAATGGTTAGGTTTAGGGCTAAGATGTAAATTGGTTAGGGTTAGACTGTAGGGTGAGGCATGCATTGGTAATGGTAAGGTGCAGGGTTAGTTTTAGGGCTAGGGCATAGAGAGGGTTGAAAATGACTGACAATTATTGGAAGTGGGAGTCAACACATGGTCCTCACTACAATGGCAGAACAAGTATGTGTGTGTGTGTTGGGGGGGGAGGGGGGATAACCTGCTGGACCAGTTGGTTTAAGTGACGCACCAGGACAATAAGAGTGGGCTGCGGTGATAGTGTGGTAGGTGATCCCGTTGTAAACAAAAAATCTATTATTGAACTAAAACTATTCTAGGAACACAGTTCATGCATAACACACCTACAGTCACACACATCTTTTACCAGGCTCAGAACTCTATGTAATATTTTTTTTAAATGCTACTCTCTTAAATCTCATCTAGATCATACAAAAATACATAAACACATATGTTTAAATGTCTAAATCATGGAAATGTTAATATATGACAAAAGATAACTTAGTTAAAAGCTATCCAAAACAATTTCCAATAAAATGAAGCTTTAACTATGACCACGATTTCACCTTTCTTCCAGAAGCTTGATTACTGCAAGACCCTTAGAAACTGGAAGTCACCTAATAAGATTTGCTTGATAACACAAAGTAGGCTAAAGAACTACTAAATCAGCTATAGTGAAGTAGATAGGTTTGATGAATGTCTTTCTATTAAAGGTAGCACATGATGCATTGGTAGCAGCAAAATGTATTAAAAATCCCATCTAGAAATTACAATCTCATCTCTTAAAAAATATTATCTGCCTAATATTATTAGCAAGAATTAGCAAGAATAGAATAGAATAGAAAATCCCTTTATTGTCCCACAATGGGGAAATTCTGTTGTTACAGCAGCAAAAAGATTATAGAAAAAATGGTCACACAAATGTGGGCCTTAGAGGAGTGTATAAGAATAACATAATACTGAAGTGTTAAAAAATAAGCAGAGGAATCGTTTTCTTATTCAGAGAGGGAAAGTGTTTAAAATGAAGAATGAGAATATCTTGGCTGGAAGTAGAGATAGAGAATTCAGAGTGCTGGGAAATATTCTCACCAGCAAAAGAGACAACGTTAAATTAAGTTAAATGTAAAACCTATAGGCATCAATAGATTATTACTTTAAGTGAATTCAAATTTTACAAACTGTTTAAAGACATTTTTTTGCCCTTTCTTACTAATTTTGTATGACCTCGAAAGCAAACATTGTGAGAAAAACATTTTTAAAAACTTTAAAATCCAAAAAAGTTAAAAACAATTCAATGTACTTTGTTTCCAAGTTTGAAGACGTTTCCATTCCCATTCAGGAAGATTTTTCCAATTCAAAATGTCAAAATCAGCATTGAGTTCAAAGCTTTATAGAGTTTGCAATGCCCTATATCTATGCCCTATATCTATGCCTCTGAAATGGGAGTCATTAGGGGGAACTGTTGGCCTTGCCAATGTTTTGGTCCCTTGCATGGGGGTGGGGGTTGCGATAATAGTGGGAAGGAATCAACTCTATTGCTGCATTGTAGATTTTTGAAAAGCTGAAACCTGAGTCCACCCCCTCTGTTTAAGGTTGGGTTTTCTTTCTTAACATAAATGGCTTCCTTCACACCCCTTTAAAACCACCTGTCTTCTTTGTCCAACATGCCCAAAAGAACTTATTTTGGAATGACTATGACCTGGATGAGTGAGAATCCCATCATGAAAAGGGACAGATGGATCCAGTATTCAAGGTGAGACAGTCAGTAGGAAAGTTCAAAACATTAATTAACATAAAAACAGACAGCTCCTGAGGACCTGCGGACCTGTAGCGACTGCAGGAGGGATGTGGGGCACTGCCCAATCACTGACACTCTGGTTTAGGGAGAAACATAGGTAAGTGACCACGATCATCTGAACAGAAGATGATTATTAGAATGAGTCACTTACCTGGTTTAACAGTTCAGTCCATCCTCTCAATCTTAGGCAGGATAAGCCAATGCAATGCACATGACTCCGATCCAGGACAGGGATTCAGATCAGACTGGAGTAGTACTGGAATCCAGGAGTTTGCAGTCCGGTCAGGGGTTCGGATCCACTAAGGAACGGACAGATCCGGGTTCCAGGAATCCATCAGAGCGTGAACGCAGTTTCAGAGTCCCGTGCATCGAGCATCCAGCTCAGACAGAAACGCACCTTGGAGGACAGATTCAGAGTTCCGTGCATCGAGCATCCAGTTCATACAGTAACGCACCTTGGAGGACAGATTCAAAGTTCCATGCATCGAGCATCCAGCTCAGACAGAATCGCACCTGAGAAGCAGAATTCAGCAGGAGTCCAACCGTGGTTCAGGCGAACAGATCAGGCAGGGACAGACTGGGCCAGTTGGTGAGAGGGAACGGAATCAGGAAATCAGAACCCGTAGGGAAACGCTGAAACACTCTCACCACTGGTTATGGCACAACTTGCCTCAGGACACTGGCTTGAGAATAAACTCCTAACTGGAACACAAACCTTGGAAATAAATCTAACCAATGAAACTGACGGACAGGACACAAATAGAAATCAAACAATGATCTGACCAAGATAGCTGGGCTGCACCGAATACACGAGAAACCGGCAGGTGAATGCCATCAGAGATGATTAGGAACTGGACAGACTAGGCAGGTGAGTGAAGTGAGCAATTAAGGCCAGCTAACCGAGCAGAGTATAGTATTTTATTACCATACTCTCCATTTTACAATTAAACAAAGTTATTTGATAATTTTCAATAATTTCCTAATTTATTAAATATCAGTATAGATCTCTGTACAAATTAGTAGACCGAATTGCAAATCCAAACATATTAGCTTGATTGAATAATTGAAAATAAGTTTTCCACCAATTCCATTACCACTGGTGTATAAAATTAAGTGCCAAAGCCTACATGCTGTTTCTACAAACATTAATGAAAGAATGGGGTGATTATCAAGCTCAATGAACTGCAGCATAGTACTGTGATAGACACTACTCCTGCAACACAGACAGCTGTGAAATGTCCTCGCTTCTATGTATTCCACTGTAACTTGTCTTTGATGTTATAGCAAAGTAGAGGTGTTTTGGAATAACAGCCATGAGGTGGAAGGCCTCATAAACTGATAGGGGTCAGCATCATGGAATGAAGCGTGACGGAGCAGCTGTATCCAAATCCTGTATAACCAAGTACAGTGCACAGCATTAGATACCTTGGTGTAAAACACACCACTGGACTCGAGCAATGGGGGCGTGTTCTCTAGAGTGATGAGCCACACTTCTCCATCTATCTTTCAGATAATGAGTCATAGTTTGACTGTTGTCAGGGGAACGATACTTGTCCTAATGTATAATATCAGGTGTATAGTTTGGTAATGGGGGGATTATGTTGTGCGGTTGTTTTTTTCAGAAGCTGGCCTTTGCTTA